CTGGCTATTTCGGCACGCCATTTTCCCCCATTTTTCTTCCTGTCCCTCTTCCCAATTTTTTCTGCAGTTCGTCAGCGAGCTCTTATCTCCATTGCCCGATTCGGATCCACTCGGATCACGTCTGAATGGTCAATCGGTTTGCCATCATCGTGAAGGAACCAATGACGACGGCAGTAGCATGGAACCGCAAACCTCAGTGGATACTGCGGATCTTCCATGCCAAAGCCTGGAACGCAAGCAGTGCGAGGCCATCGAATGGTGCAGACGGCGCAGATGAGAGTTACAGCCAGCCATGAATGCTGCAGTATGCGCAATATACCCTATACATGACACCATTGAATGGCTGCGCTGAATGATTTTGAAGATGCAGACTGAGACTCGGACGGGCCTTCGGAGCTGGAATGATGAGTTGGATAGGGTATTGTCTCGAAGTCGATGGTTCATCCGCCCTAGAACCTTTTGTCGATACCATGATTGCATTACAGCCGACATCCGAAGAAATAATAATGATATTGGCTTCTCGTAGCGTGGCTTGTTGACAACCAACTTTCCTTTCGATTTTCCCTCTTTTCCTTTTCTCAATAATTGCGGGAGGCAAACCTGCCTCAGGCAGTGCGCACACGGTTGCTATGCCTTCTCTGATTGGCTGATTGATGACTTCCCAGATAGGAAATCTTCAGCTGACAAATTTTTCCCACTCGTTCTAGACTGGGACTAGCTCTGCACATGATTAGTACCGGCTGCCTGAGGCAGCAATAGATATGATATAGTCAAGAAAGATAAGCACAATAAACTCAGATGTCATTCCTAGATACAATCTTCAACTAGTAGTTCACTACTTTTAAATGCATCACCTGGGTCAAATACACCCCCTCACTATCTCACTAGCAAAGCATCCACGGCGCACAAAAGGAAATAAAAAATGTCAGGATCCGCATTCCGTCGTCAGTCGGTCTTAATAAAATCTTTCAGTTCCATTCCATCTTCATCAAGGAACCTTCCCAATCGAAGTTCCCAAAAGTGGGCATCATGGCATTCGTGCTCGAGGTACTGCCAGCATAGGTACTTCGAATTTCTGGGATCGTACCATCTTGGCTGCTTGAACCGATCAATGATGTTCACAAGAGAAGTGTAGTTGTGATACAGGAAAGGTGCCTTGAAGTCCGACTTGGCCAGGTTGTGTGTGTTGAGGTTCTTCGTAAGGGCCCCATACAGCATGGAACTGCATTTAAATGAGCAACCTCTCTTCCCGGTCAAATATTCTTCTTGCACACGATAGACGTGACCCATCAATCCTTCAATAGCCTTGATTCGGCGGGCGTTGATCTCTTCTTATAAGTCGTGAGCAGTGGACGTCGTATTAAAATTGATGGGATAGGCAACTTACCAACGATACGTGCCGGAATCGGAAGACCCAGAGGTGGCATGTGTGCTCTTCCTTCCTTGATCAAAGTCAAGCTCGCTGCCTTGAAGACACCCGGCATTCGGAAAAATATGCTGATCCAGAGCCAGATCACAGCGTCGCGGTAGCCGTCGTCGGGCCCAAAAGGGTTGAGCTTCGCAATCCACGGCCGTCCGGCGAAGAGTACTGCATCACTGACATCGTAATAATCAGCGACGACGCAGACCTTGCCAAGCATATCTAGGTCGACTTTGTCAGGAAGTTCATGGCTTTTGCAGTGGATGATTTTCAGGACGTAAAGAAGCGCGCATTCGTCCCAACATTCTGCTGTCGTCAGCACTGTTCCATCCGCCTGGAATTCAACGCTCTCTTCCATGCCGGTGGAGAGAAGGGCCTTGAAGTACGGCGACGCGGCCATAAGATGCTTCGCCGATGCTTGGAAGGTAACCACGACCTCGGTCTCACTCTCACTCTCATTCCCATCGTTTCTAGCCTGGATCTTTTTCTCGATCTCTTCCCTGACACGTGTGCGCGCTCGTCGCTCCTCTTCCGTTAGCAGTGAGCTCGGAAGAATATCAACAGGTGGCCCGCCGATTCCCCAGATGCCACTCTCCGGCTCACTCGCCTCGACTTGGTCGTCAGATTGAACGATAAGTGGAAGTATCGAGAGATTCTTATACTTCTCTTCCATGATTCCTGTATCTGTGGCCATTGCGATCCATCGTTGCAATAGCTCGGAATCCACGACCTGGGAGCCGGCCTCACGCGCTACTCCTGGCTCAAAGGAAACGAAGGGCTGATTGGGATACATCAAACCTATGAGTATCTCGCCTTCTTCATCGAGGATATAGTCTGGTTGCTCCATCCCGGATGTTTCCTCCTCCATTCTTGGGCTGCTCTGACGTACTTGGCCAGGTAGGAAAGCCAGATGAGCAGTCGAGTTGTATGGGAAAGGTAAATGAGAGAATGTGAGATGGAAGCAACACTCCATCGTGGAGCTGAAAAGTAGTAGAATCCATGGCCAATTTGAGGATTCACTGTCTTTCTCGGCGCTGGTGCTCTTCTGTGCCTGATTGGGTGATCACAGGTTGAAGTGAACGGCAGACCCGCGTCAAAATATCCAATTTGAGACTCTCTGCTCCCAGCCGCACTGGCCCGAACTCACCCATCTGAGGAAAATGCAGAAGTTGGAGGAGAAGACGGCGAGGCAAGCCTTTATATAGTAGATATGTCCATCTGTCCTGTGATGGGCAATCACTGCACAATCCCATGAATGTATTGCGTGAATCTAGCTCTCTATCATTATTAACGCGCAAACACTATTCCAGTGACGCATAAGCTCAGCGAATGGTCGGCTCAGCGAATGGCTGCCGCCGCCACTAATGCTTCACAGGCAGAACTCTGCGTAGATGCATCAGCCGCAGTGAAAGGCCCTGACCAGACAGGGCCGAGTTGATTCCCATCGCCCTGATCATCCTGCCAGATGCTGTTGGCATTCTGCTGCAGAAACTGCTTTACCCCGTCTTCAGGACTAGCCTGGTACAGCATCTGAAGATTTCGCATCAAGATTCCCTTGAACTGTGGTGCATCCCCGGTGCAGTTTGGATCACAGGATTCCTGGAGAACCCCATTGACATCGCTCAATGTCTTTATAGCTGCATTGGCGATCCGCTGCGCTGTGGCTATATATGATGTATTTGAGACCAGCTGCGACAACTCGACTAGTCCCCCTAGAATCACGCCCTGATTGTAGCTCCAGACTGTGCCATTGTTATTTTGACAGCTTTGCAGATCCAGTCCATCGTTAATGGTATTTTGACTATTAATCAACCCGCTATTCTCGAACCACTGCCATTCTTTCATTGCCCAGTCGAGATAGTAAGATGTGTTATCGGTATCTCGTCGCCCTAGATGAGCAGCGACGCTCAAGAACAGCTCATTCTCGATAGCGTTGTTGCCGGTATGACTCTTGTCCCACCAAATACCCCCGCATGTACTATCCCACCCGGCTGCCATGTCACTAAATATGTTCACTGCAGTGTCCAGGTATTGCCGATCCTGAGTCAAATCGTAGGCCTGGATCCACGCCAGCGCCCACCACCCCTCGTCGTCGTAGTAATCATTGAGAAACTCAGTATCGGATTCAGTATCGTTAAGGGGTGATTGACGCTTGTATTGCGACGTTGGTTTGCGAACGCTATGGGAAAGAGTGGAATTTGGGGCTTGGATGAAGGTATTGTTGAATAATACTGAGCTCGAGTTGAGCATGGAAGGGTCCAGTGCCGTGAGATCGCCCAGGACGGTCAGGCAAATAGCACTATTCCACCAGCCGGTCGTATCCCACAGTCCTGTCGTTTGATTGTACCATTTCTGTAGCGTGTTCACGGCAGACTTGGCGTTGTCAAGGTATGGTGTGGTGGAGGTGAGGGTTAGTTGACTGGGAGATGAGGCGACGATAGAGACAAGCCCCAGGAGAACATATATTGCCGATGCGATCATTGTCGGAATTTGAAAGGTGTCAGAGGGGAGAATGTCTGACGCTGGTGTTTATATCTTGTGGGCGCCCCTAGCGCCGATCCTGATGTCATGTGGAATGCTCACGAGGCCTTTGAAACACAGGAATCCACCCTAAGGGCGGGAGAAGGTCAGATTGATCGATATTCATATTCATGTTCTGTATGAGAGCATAGACTTTTCTTTAATTATATACAGCCTGTGATGGCACCGGATGTTTGGGTTACATGCAAGGCAGGTGATAATGGGTCCGAGCGCACTATGGAACAGGAGGGTCAACATCGCCGTGCTTCTGTGCATATGTCCAGCTACTATTGAATAAACCAAGAGTGTCAGTAAGTTAAGGTATTAGCTGTTGAGATACAATGGATGAGTCTGGAGGATATAAACTTTTGTGGGAGTTGCAGTCCCTATGATACTCTTTCAGTGGATGTGAGACACCTGCAAACAGTCGATCGTAGTGGCTGTCAGACCATGGAGTCATTTCACCTGTATCGATATCGGCAGTAATTATACTATTATCGCTATAAAAAAAATACAGACCAATGCGACCCAGCCAAATTCTGTCCGGTAGGTTAATGACCCAGTCATCCCAAAGTGAAGTCAATGGTTTGTAATGAAGCAGTAAGTTAAAGAGTGTGCAGTGATTGCTCTTCCCGTACCTGAGCAGAACAAGGTTAATGCCCCAGTCCCCAGGCTGAATCACAATCGGAAGCTTCCTTGTTCATGCATCTTGCCGCTCTGCAGTATTCCAATTTCTATTATCGGTCGGAAATTATCTTCACTGCGGTCTGTGTGAATTGTTCAATATGCCACTGCTGTCGGTAGGTTGACTGGTCACACATGGCGGGCTCATGCAGGAGGCCCATGGTGAAGGCCTTGAGGCTCCAGGCTGCTGCCTGTGCTGCCTGGAAACCTTGCAGATAGTATATGCACTTTCCATGCCGTCACTCTTGCCCTAATCCCTCAGCAGGAGACTCCTCCCTCAACATAAATACTCCACCCGCCTCACTCGCTGAGGTAGTTTCCAATCATCTAACAAACCATACTACAACGACTGCTCTCATCGATAACGGAACGGAAAATGCCTCGTCGAACTCGCTCAGCACCTCACTTTGAACACACCCTCGTGGACCTCGAGGATCGGGTCAACAAGTCTCTCATCGATGTAAGTCACCCCGTTATGTCCTGACTTGTCGATGTGGATGTTTCTCTTTGATGCTTCTTTTCTCACACCCTCTTTTGTCTTTCCTTTTGTACAATGACATCAAGAAGAAATAATATGGTGATATCGTCTGAATCTCCTGAGAACATGCTGATAGTATATGACAGTCTTGTAAAGCCGATGCATGCGTTGATAGGTTCCTCGTCCGCGTTCACCGGCTCAATCCTTCCATCCTTGAACAGGTGAAATGTAGGTACTCCTATGCCTATCGGACTGGAAATCCGGCAAAAGCACAGGAGGCATTGGAATGGAATGGAGAGGGAGCCGAGGAGCTGCGCGAAATTGCCTCTGAACTCCGGGATAATTTGAATCGCCTTCGTCCGGGCTATGTGGAGGAAGGCACTGATATTCTGACAAACAAGAGAGTGTTTCGAAGAATGGAAAGCCGATGGAAGGCTATCGGCTCCAGGGTGGTCTGGGACCGAGACTATCTGCAGCAAACCTCCGACAAAGATAGTCCCCTTGAAGACAATGAGAAGCCGGAGGGTATGGAGACAGATGATGTGAAAAGAGAAGACGCCGAAGCAGAAGACACAAAAACTGAGGATAGACCAAAAAAGAAACTTCGGGCAGATGTGTGTGGGAGAAAAGGTCTCGCACACCCCGATGCTTGTATCATGGATCGACTCCTCGACACTTTGGGTGCGGCACGTGTGGCAACAGCGGAAGAGAAGAGCACCGGGGCTTCCTCCCTAGTGACCGGTTCCTTTATGCAGGCTTGCCGGCAGTTGAGATACGCAATTGAGAGCGAAACCTTGTCTGCCTCGTTTACATGCGGAGGCAGCATCCCGATCGCGGATCTCATCGGCCCTGAGCAATCTACAGCTGGACCTACTTCCCCCGTGTGCAGGTGGTTCACTGGGGTGCCGAGCACGACTCCACCGCACAGAAGCTCACGCTGCCGGTGCCAAGTGAGACCAATCATTCTTCAATTCATGGGCCCCAATCCCTTCTTGATGCTTGCCAACCTGCGAGCTTTGGTAGGGGTGGACAGGACATCCTTGACCCCGAATACCGCCGGGCGGGCAAGCTCGACACTGACCGATTTCTGACAAGCTTCCACCCAGCTGACTTTGGCATAATTGAGCTTATTGAGCAGATCCTTTTACCTGGGATAAGCAGTGGGACTGAGAATCGGCTGCAGTTCCGCAAGCTGAAGGCTGAGTTGTACAAGTTGAATGTCCGTTTTACCCCATGCCCCTATTATGCTCATGTTCTGATTGAATCCACTGCAGGTATACTCGGGACCCTCTGGGCTTTTCCGCAAACACGTCGACACGCCACGCTCAGAGCACCAGATTGGATCCCTCGTGGTTTGCCTGCCATGCGAGTTCGAGGGGGGCAACCTGACTGTGCAGCATCACGGGCAGGAGACCAACTTTGATTGGAGTCGGCAGAGTAGCTCTAGCATCCAATGGGCTGCCTTCTATTCGGATTGCGAGCATGAGATCAAGACGATCAAATCAGGCCATCGCATCACTCTCACATACAATCTGTATGTACGGGAGATGCCCGGTGCCATACTCGCTCCCATCCGTCCCGTCCTCGATCCACAGACTCTCCCGCTCTATGGGTTGATCGAAAGTCTACTGACCACCCCTGGGTTTATGAATGATGGCGGCGTGATAGGGGTCTTCTGCTGCCATGCCTATCCCCATTCCTCGGGTCTAGCCGAACTTCTACTTCCGCGTGCCTTGAAGGGCGCCGACCTTGTAGTCTATGCTGTTTTCGAGGCACTCGGTATAGACGTGAGCATCCTCCCAATCCTAGAACCCCAGGAAGACTCTGTAGGTTTTGATGTTCCCGAGGAGAGTGGCCCCGAGCAAGGCCCGGACTCTGAGGAAGACTCAGACTCTGATGGGGAGTATTGGTCCCAGAGATGCTACAACCGTTCTGGGCCACAAAAGTACCTGAAGGAGGGCAAAGAGTATCCTCTCAAGTACAGCGAGTTGTACCCCTGGAAGTCCAGTAATGGTCTTCTTGACGTGGATCAGCACTGGAAGCGGCTATTGTTGACACGCGAAGTACATGACATGAAAGATGCCTTCGCGTTTGGAAAAAAGTACCATCTGCCAAAGAAGCCAAACAGCATTCACCGGGCAGGGCGTGCCCGTGTGGCCCCGCGTCTCCAAAGGTACTTCAACACTGATCGCGGAGAGGAGGACCTCAAACAGGTATGGTTGCATTCCAGAATATCTTGTGGACATGAAAACTAACATTTCATTTGCTAGGTGACCAACGATGTCTGGCCGTCATACACCCTCCCCGGAATCACCTGGATTAGCAAGCCCAAGCATCGAGAGATGGCATTTTCTCACATTTCCTATGGCAACGAAGCTGGCATCGGCACTTGTTATTCCTGTGCGGCGATCCTGGCCGCTATTCCGCCCTTCAGTCAACGTTGTCACAGCGGGAAGATGAAGTAGTCCAGGGAGAGTTCCAAAAGCCTCCTCGTGAAGCGAGACTGAGTGAAGAAATAGCTACTCTCTCTTGATGCATTCTTATGTAGTTGCAATGAAATTGGACTTATCCCCATTTCTCTACTTTCACTGGTTTCTGTAGCTGTCTTTCCTTCTCATTCGAGCTTCATTTTCAGTAACATGATGGTACACTTACACAGTATCCGTAGTATACGATCGTAGTTTACGAGATCTCGTGACAGTAGTCTACACCACCATCTCAGATATACAATCGTTGGAACATGTATATTCATAAAGCTCTATCAGTAAACGCAACTCTAAGTATACCACGACGGCTCCGGCACCTCACCCAACAGAGCATACCTCCCCAGTTCGCGATTCTTATACGCCACCGGATCATGCAGGGTATGTGTCCGAATATCCCGCCAGAAGCGATCCAACCCGACCTTCACAGCCGTCGCCCTCGCACCAGTAACCTCAAAGATCCCCGAAGTCACCCTCAACCCCACATCCGTAGTAACCACCTTGACACTGGTAACCCACTCGGCCAACTCACCCCGTTGTCTAGCCGTCAACCCAGGCCGATTCTCCGAGTGTTCGCGATACAAGGATGAAATCTCCTCCCCAGCCCGATCAGCCAGCGCCTCTGCCGCACGGAGATGCGCGAAGAAGTTCCCGTAACGCTCGAGAATGTAGAATTCCTCCGTCGCGGAGGCTTTGTTGTCCCCGCCGAAGGGCCATGGACGGGTCGTGCTGACAGTGTATTGGGATGCGAAGGCTAGTGCGCCTTGAGCGATGCCGAGATAGAAGTTGCTGAAGACGAGTTGGATTCTGCGCTCTCGGTTAGCATTACGGTATTTGTAAATGAATATAATGTGAAGGAAGGAGAGTATATCATACGTCGGAAGCAACAAACTCGCAAACGGCACGCCCAGAACCTCTTCACGCGGCCTCTTCGACACATTATCCCAACCCAATGCATCTGTCCACGGCGCACGCACATTCTCTATCTTGACTCCTCCGGACTCGGTCAAGCGTAGTCCGATGTTGTTCCAGTTATGGGCGAATTTGATCCCCGCCTGCCGGGTCTCGACGAGTGCGAAGATGTGCTCGCCTGTGCCGTCAAGGACACCCTCTAGGACAGTGAGGTCGGAGACGACACCACCTGTGTTGAAGAACTTGGCCCCGTTGAAGATGATGTCTTCTCCGTCGGAGGTGATGGTTAGATCGCTGTCGCGGGGATTGACGGCCCCGCCGACCAAGTAGTTGTTTGTGATGATCCATTGGTGGATGCGGTCGGCTTGAGACGGGGTGCCGACGATGTTGGCGGTTGTGGACCAGAGGAGGTGGTAGCCTAGGAGCATACCGATTGATCTGGTGGATTTTGGTTAGTATTGCTGTGATGTGTTGTGGGTGGGATTGGATGGAATGGGGGAGATGAGAGTATACCCGTCTCCTTTGGCCACCTCGCGAATGGCCTTGTATCCTACGCTCCAGGGCTGTTCGCCTCCGCCATATTTCTTAGGGCCCAGCAGCTTCAGCAGTCCGGAGTGTTTGAGTAGAGCTACTTCCGCCCGTGGGGACTTGTTCGCTTGCTCGCGCTGTGCGGCATCTTGGCTTAGTACGGTGGCTACTTCACGCGCCCGGGCTAGCCAGGCGTCGGCGGTGTCGGGTAATGAAGCCCATTGGGTTTTGTAGGCCTCGTAGACGGCTGGATCGGTGGCTGGGACATCGGATTGGGTCATGGTGGTGGTGATGATGATGATAGTGAGTTGGGAGAGTGAGGGGTTGAGAGGGGCTGGGAAGAGTTGCTGCGGACATAGTGGCACAGGGCAACTACTGGCATATAAGTAGTGTCTGTAGATAGACTCAAAAAGTAGTTCAGAGGTGGTGGTGATTGCGATGGAAGCTTGTAAATGACGCGCACGGATCACGCCATCTGCGGGCTTGAGCACATCGCATCGTGGATCGACAAGGTGAGGGTTGTTGGATAGGTTGAGTGGAAGGGAGATGTCGTTATCCCGCTGAGAATGGCACAACCAGCGAGCGCATTTACGGGGGTTAACTTGGAACATAAGCTTATCTGGATGTACAACAATTAACTCAATACATTATACCCTGATATACTATACTACTACCACTAATTAGTCCTCCTAAATTGTCGATCTACATCCCACCACACTGCGTAGCCCCTCTACTCTTCCCTCCCTTTCCTACTCTTCGCAAAATATCTCCCCGTATCCCCCAACGGCAACTCCAACAGACTATTATCCTTCAAGAACAGATGAAACACAATATACCACCCGACCATCCCCGCCACGAAACAACTTGCCCCTCCGGTCTTGCGCAATGCTCTCGCCGAGTCAGCGTGTCCATCCGCATCGGCAAAGTAACTCGCCGCCACGGTCAAGAACCCCAGATCCACAAAGAAGAACACTGCAATATTCGCCAGGTTAATTGGCAACGATGCAATCAGAAACGTGAATACAAAAACAGTCCATAGTATCATGAAGAACCCCAGCGCATTATTATACTGTGCTGTGTCGGATCCGTAGGCTTGTGCGACCCCAAAGGCTGGAGTGAGGATCGCGCCGTAGCCAGCGTAGAAGAGACCTGTTCAGAATATCAGTCTGATTAGCCTTTTTTTTATTCTTTTTATGCTGAGGTAAAAGGGATAGTGTGCATGAGGGAGGTATACCGAATGCACTAAATACCGTGTATGCAAAACCATTTCCCACGGAGAGCTCCCATTGTGCAGTGATGACGAGTCCAAATGCTGCGATGAAGAAGAAGTTGCCCACGTAGACGTTGGTGATTGTCACGCCGCGCCATTCCATCAGACTGAGGGATAGGGTAGTCAAAGTTGTGCCGAATGCGCCAAGAGCTAGTGCTGACTGCGTATCCCATGCACATTAGTCAATGATTCGAGGTAAATGTAGAAGTCTGACTTACGCCTGCACCGAGGGATTTGGGTGCGACTGGCACTGCAGCTGCAGCTGCAGATACAGATGCTTGTCGCTCAATGTCGAATGCATCGGTGGCATTCTTACTCTCTGTTGGAGAGCTTGTAGACATGGTGCTACACTGTGAAGATGGTGCAGGTAGGAATGGATAGTTGTGCTGATTCAGGATCTAGAGTCCTACGGGCGGTCCCCAAATCCCGATATCTTATAAAAGCTCAGGCCTCATTTTGAGTCCATTACGCCATTTGGATACCGAGTGGTGAGCAGAGATTGACTCCAGAGTGGACGGGATCTCTACGGGATATGCGCGGGATCTGCTTGAAAACCGACCATTTCGGAATGAAATCCAGACTGCCGGAACAGGGGGTAAAATCAATTTCTTAACCGTATTAAAGTCATATTAAGGTATAAAATATGGCTATACTAGTTATGGGGGCTGATCATACGATGGCCTAATCGCGCCGCCGATGAGGTGCTAGTCTAATTTTTGGTCCAGCTCACAACACACTTAGTAGCTGCGATCAATCCAGTCGCCCCAAGATTCGCCCAGCACCGTGGTCTTGTCAACTGCCGCGGAAATGGAGGACTCATACTCGCGGTCTGATGTGTCTGATCCCGCTCCAGAGTTGTTGTACTCATAATACAGCGGCGTCGCACCGTCTGCCATGGTCGTCCATCCCTTGGGGTTGATGATGTCCGACAACACCGAGTTCTGGTAGATGACCCGTGCAAACACGCGCCACGGCCGGCCCAGGTAGACCTTCTCCGTCAGGGAGACACCTGATGCAGCCTTAATATTGCAGTTGTCGATGGCGTACCAGCCTGAGTCGGAGGAGGTTTCCCGCGATGAGGCCGTGATGGCACCGGCGCCGTTGGACACAATGTCACATTCGCCAAACCACACCGATGCATCGCCGAAGATGTAGTCGACCGCGCCTAGATGAGTCAGTCACTTCTTACTCGTACTATATAGACAGATACTGACCCTCAATCATGCAGTTAGAGTAGTACTGGGTGCCGGCCTTGACATAGAGGGTGTCCTGGTACCCGCTGAATTGACACCCATAGAAGCCCAACTGATCTGCATTTCCAACAAGACTACCAAGCTATTAAGCCACCGCTCTTTGTCTTTGGGAAAAGTCAAAATACGTACGCCACCGCCTGTGATCCCTCTCCATATCCATTCTCCACGTTGATGTTGTACATGCTGAACCCGTCCGACACCACGTTGACGGTGGCGCTCTTGTCGAGAGAGCCGGCATCCGACGACGAGATAGTGTGGGTAATGGTAACTACGTTGTCCTTGTAGGTGCCAGTATCGGTGGTCTCGCCGTACAGTGTCAGGTTGCCATCATAGTCGATGGTCAGCTGCTCCTCATACGTGCCGCTCGCCACGTAAATGCAAGCGGACGAACTGGACGAGTCCAGGGCATCAAGCGCATCGCCGATGGTGGAATATGTGCCGTCCGATCCGACCGTCAGGCACCCCGAGGGAGCACTAGTCCGACTCTCTCGCTTCTTAATGTGTTCTGCCGGAGCTCCGACCGCGGTAGCAGTTAGGACGGCAAGTGTGCCCAGAAGGTATGAAGTATACATGATGATTTGTTGCTGTGAGATCCCCTGGACTAAAAAACGTGAGGATAATATCCTGGCAGGGGGTCAGAAAAGGAAGGAATCGACAGATATGCCAAGTGGCTATATAACCTATTTCGGAGCACATGCCACAAGCCTGTCAGCCCAAGGCATGACATCTCCAGATGTCTCTCTTCGCCCTAGAAGGCTGCCAACAAGACACTGGGACCAAACGGCGGCCAAGCGCCAAGAGACACCATTGCCGGAGAATTTTCTCCACACTTCCATGAATAACCATCTACCCTTCCCGGCCTGGACGCCATGGCGTTTCAAATAAGCACCCTCCGCCTGCAGGAATGCGCCGTTGACACCCACGGTCTTCCGTGCAGAATGGAGCGATTGGCGGCGTGCCATCGGAAAGCTACCAGACAGGTTCAGCCCTCAGCAGGGGGCGGAGGAACAGCCCTTGCAATTTATCCGGATCGACATACCAGCACGTCAGCTGGCCGCTCTGCTTCCTGGAACGGTCGAGTGTTGCATGTTAGTGGGCGGGGTTTCATCGTACCTCGCAGGGATCGGTCGGCAGTTCGGCATAAGAATAAATTGCAAAGTCGTGTTCACAGTTCATCGAGGACCCTGCCAGCTGTTGTAGGCCAATTAACCGATACTAGACAGGCCATGACATGGTCAGGGCACGGCGGTAGCTCCGTCTCTAAATTAAGCATCCGCTCGTTTCAAACTGACCCCCAGCCGAGATGACAGGGTCTGCCTCGGCATCCCACAATCCTCACTGATTCATTTCGCTGCAACTAAATACTACTGCCACATGAGGTACCTTCCGTATACATCCGAGCAGGATGCGACTCGTATATAGTGGGCTGGACATCGCCGGAGTGATCACCTGTTCCGAAAGTGCGAGTAATCCATAATCATTGTCACAAAAGCGCTCATCATGGCGCTATATCGTAACCTCTTTCTTCTAGCCAGCCTTGGGCTAAGCAATGCTGCTCCCTCCAAGGTCCAGCGAGCCCCGGATTCTTCTCTTCACGCTCGCGCTGTCTGCACCCCTACCGCAGGAGGCGATTCGTCCACCGACGATGTCCCCGCCATCACCGAGGCGCTCAGCTCGTGCGGAAATGGTGGCACCATCGTCTTCCCCGAGGGCAGCACCTACTACCTCAATAGTGTGCTGGACTTGGGCAGCTGCAGTGATTGCGACATCCAGGTCGAAGGTCTTCTGAAGTTCGCCAGCGATACCGATTACTGGAGCGGTCGCACTGCCATGATCAGTGTTTCCGATGTTGATGGTTTGAAACTGCGCTCATTGACTGGGTCTGGTGTCATTGATGGAAATGGCCAGGATGCGTATGTGGTCACCCTTCTCAAAAGCAAGACTTAACCTGACTGACCGATCCAATCCAGGTGGGATCTCTTTGCTTCGGACAGTAGTTACTCACGCCCAACGCTCTTGTACATCACTGGCGGCAGCAACCTGGAAATCTCCGGGCTGCGTCAAAAGAATCCACCCAACGTGTTCAACTCGGTCAAGGGTGGCGCCACTAATGTCGTCTTCTCCACCCTGAAGATGGATGCCAACTCCAAGTCGGACAATCCGCCCAAGAACACCGATGGGTTCGACATTGGCGAGAGTACCTATGTGACCATCACCGAGGTCACCGTAGTCAACGATGACGACTGTGTCGCCTTCAAGCCCAGTTCCAACTACGTGACAGTGGACACGATCAGCTGCACCGGCTCCCATGGAATTTCCGTGGGATCATTAGGAAAGTCGAGCGACGACTCGGTCAAGAACATCTATGTCACGGGCGCAACTATGATCAACTCCACCAAAGCCGCCGGGATCAAGACTTATCCGAGTGGAGGCGACCACGGTATCTCCACGGTCAGCAATGTGACCTTCAACGATTTCACTGTGGACAACTCCGACTACGCCTTCCAGATCCAGAGCTGCTATGGCGAGGACGATGACTATTGCGAGGAAAACCCGGGCAACGCCAAACTGACGGATATTGTCGTGTCAAGCTTCAGTGGCACAACCAGTGACAAGTACGACCCGGTTGTGGCCAACCTTGATTGCGGTGCGGATGGAACGTGTGGCATCTCCATCAGTAGGTTCGACGTCAAGGCGCCATCGGGCAAGTCTGAAGTGTTGTGCGCCAACACCCCGTCTGATTTGGGCGTCACTTGCACTTCGGGGGCTTCGGGCTAAACAGCTTTGGCCGGAATACTTTCTGTATCCACTCGGTGGAGATTCTTCAGGTTTGATATTTTGTATGGTCGTGTGTATAGCAGAATGTGACAATAGAATCAGTGAAATTGCCATCCCTTTCGAAAGAGATTGCAGTCGGATTGTACGCAACAACACCTTTGTAGGTCGATAAATGTTCTGGCGAGCGATCTGGTGCAAATGTTAATGGGGATTCCTTCAGGCAGTGGAATCAATCGGGCTTCATCCGGAATGGGCTCAAGCACTTCCACCGTCATGTTTAATATACGGCACTACTGCTGATTTGTCAGTCATCCCGTCCTTCTCTCCGAGTCCCCGCAGTAAACTGCATGCTGCATCATCGTTAGGACGAAATGGGACCCTTCGGCCAGTGCCGCTCGTCCATCCCCAGGAAGTGGACGCGGGGAGGCTGGCGTGGGGATGGAACCACCGCACCATCCGGCATAAGACATATCCGCTGATCCTGCCTCCGCCAATCGGCCCTCTCTGGGGTCCATCGCACCTATACCGGCCCGGAGATCAGTCCTAGAAACAGCATTCAACTTCCCCACTGTTGAGCTTTCTTCCTGGATTCCTCCGGACGCCCGGGATGGATGACGGAGCTCAAGCTTTGAGAAGGATTTTTCCCACGGGATGTTTGGAGCTATATAAGGTGTCGGAGAGCACCCAAGGATTATCTGGGACTCGTTTGAACCAGCCAGGAACGGCAGACAGTAATCATGAAGCTATCTTGGAATATTGGCGCCCTTCTTGGGAGCGCTGCCATTGCGTCCGCCGAGGTCTATCCTCCGTATTATGCCAATCTTACCTGGCAGCCACCGCGGACCCTCTCCAACTGGTCGAATTTGACCGTGGAGACGCAGACGGGCACCTTCATCGGCATGCTGAATGATACTTACCCCAATGTTCGCCAATTCCTGCGCATCCCGTATGCCAAGGTCGGTGTTGATTGACTTCGTGGACATGACTATCTCTGCTAACCAAATAATACCCGGTAGCCTCCAGTTGGTGACCTTCGCTGGATGCCTCCACAAAAACCTGAAAAGTCGCGCAGAAGAATTGACTCGACTCGATATGGGCCAGGTACTTTAAATCCCGAACAGACCGTACGAAGTCCCGATGGTGTCATCAGCTAATCCAAGGCCAGCCTGTCCGCAATATGTGACGGGTGAAAGCACCATGTGGAACAAATATTCACCCCCTAACCTTCTGGTCAACTTGGGAGAGAACCTGAACCAAGGTGCAGTGGCTTGGTCGACGTCGGAAGACTGTCTGTCATTGGCAGTCTGGACTCCGTCTTATGCCAATCGCACCTCGAAGTTGCCTGTGGCATTGTTCGTCACTGGCGGAGGAGGTATCACTGGGGGAATTGAAATCCCCTCTCAGCTGCCCTCGCCGTGGGTGTCTCGCTCGCAGGAACATATTGTTGTGACCATCAATTACCGCGCAAACATCTTTGGAAGTATGTCTCCCGCCTGCTATGCTATAGCATCCACTAACATATATGCCTGTAGATCCCAAGTCCCGGGCCCTGAACGACACGTCGCTCACGCTGCTGGACGTAAGGGCAGCGGCGGAATGGGTGCATGAGAACATTGAGGCTTTTGGTGGAGATCGCGACAATATCATGGTCGGTCTTCCTCCAACATACTGAACTACCTCTGTGCGATGCAACTAACTATTATCTGTAGCTCTGGGGTCAATCCCAAGGAGCAGCCCTGACACACCTCTACACCCTCGCCTTCCCCGATGACCCCCTGGCAGTCAAATTCGGAATCATCTCACAGCCACCATCAGTCACCATTGACCTAAGCACCACCGACGACGTCTACCAGGACTTTGACATCGTCGCCAAGGCCCTGGGCTGCAACTACGGCGATGATGCGGAAGCCGAGCTGGAGTGCATGCGTCAGGTCTCTTGGGTGCAGATTGAGGAGTACATTAATCGGTATTCGGGATCACCCTCGATTGCTTTCAGCAATTACATCCGTATGAAACGCCTTTCACCTCCATTCATCCCGTACTAACGATACTTCCAGCCGACGAAAAATACATCTTCTCCAACGAATCAAAGCGATACCTCGAAGGCAAGGTCGCTCGAGGCCCAGCCATCCGCTCCGACGCAGCCCGCGAAGACGCATCGGCGAATACCACGAGCGTGATGATCAGCGAAGGGGAATGGGATTGCAGAGCTGCCCAGGACTCAGCTTTGCGAAAGTCTCTCGGGCTCGAGACGTACCGGTACTTCTGGGCCGGCAACTTCACTAATATCAGTCCCGTCGACTGGCTGGGAGCGTTCCACTGGTCGGACCTGTTGATGATCTTTGGAACTTATCGCGAAGACGTCGGTGAGGTCCCGGGGCTGGAGGTGAAGACTTCTGAGACTATGCAGGATCATATTTTGGCTTTCTTGAAGAATCCTTCCACGGTTAATGTCACGGTTGGATGGCCGGCCTTTGATGCGGATACTCCTGGGGGTGGGCAGATTCTGGAGTTTGGCGAGGGTACGCCAGTGCGGAAGGTGACTGGGGACTGGTTGGATGGGGGATGCTACAACTCCTCGATTCCATTCCGTATCTGGACATGATATGTAGGTTTGGGAGAATATTCAGTTTGGTTGATATTATGTGCGATGAGTGATGATATGCTATCTGCGATGAATATTGGGATTAGGATGGTAACTTAGCCACAAACTGATCCGCCAAATATCAAATCAATGACGTTTGAGAAAACTCATAATTTCATTAGGTAGTCCAGTTTCAATACCGCGGCGACGCTTCCTTGGGAATCTCCAGTAGATCTCCTACCGGTCGAGCCTCCATCCACGCAGCCATCGCCTCGTACAACTTGTAGAAGGCTTTGTTGTTCATCGTCGGCAAATCATTCAAGATGGGATGGCCCAGCTTGGCCTGTGCCACTGCCAGATACTGGTATCCCTTGGGGTATTTCTCCAACTCCGCCCGGTCAAATTCCGGCACCGTCCGGCCATCTGCGGGTGTGACGCGATCCTTCTCGTAGAACAGTTTTATGTAGACCACTTTCCAATCCCCTCCCTATTTCAGACAGAAGTTTATGAAGCGGCAATCACACTCGACGTCAAATTCGACTCCGTCCCAGTTGAAGCGTTGAGTGATGGTGGCCTTCATTTTACCGATAGCGCGACCGGTGGTCGGGTTCAGGTCAACGAGCGTGCCGTTTTCGCGATGCATGATGTGGTCTCCGTCGGCGCGTCCCTTTATGGACGTCTGGATGAAATCGTCTATGGAGAGTCCGCCGCTCCAAGCTGGAAAGAGACACAGCACGTTAGCTGGACCGGCTGCCTCGGAAGGAGAGACGCGACCTACTAGTGAAGACAAAAGCGCCCTTGTCGACAAACAGATGGCGGTAGTGGTTCCATTCGGAGGCGTCGCGATATACTGGCCAGCCCTTGCAGAGCTCGGAGACGCAGTAGCGATCGAGGATATCGCCCTCGGAGCCATTGATGTGGCTCCAAATAGTAGGCTGCGTTTCTTTCTCGGTGATATTGTAGACCATACTGGATGGGAATGTCTCGTGGGTCGAGTAGGAGGTGAACACACCTCTGCCACGCCTGCACATCCAGCAGTATATCTATAACTCGTGGCTACCCCTCCCGAACCCAGGTTCACTCGACATGACATCATCCCCGACCGTGGTTGAAGCTGGCTGTCAGAGTTGAGGCTTTCCGCAGCATCCGGGATTCTTGATCCGGTTCGCAACTGCCGACCGGGCGAACCGGACCCATCCTGTGGATCGATATAGTATCATTGTGCTGTGTGGAAGTCCTGGCTGTCGAATGGGCATGAACAAACCAGGCGAGGCTCGTACGCGAGGATTGGAGTAGGCGTTCAGGCGTGCGGTCGCAGCCTGTCACTCATGCCATCATGTTGTCGGATTTAGGTTGACAATAAATGTCTGCATGCGGGACAAGCTTAGATCATGCTTGGTCGTTGATGTATGATAATCTGATACTGAACAGAAGATAAGCCTAAAACTGTGGAGGGTGACACGAGATTTGTTTGCCGGAGGCAAGAGATTCACTACTCCGTACGGAGAGCTTGACAACTAATTGATTGTTGCGCGATTGCAGCCGGAAACTTGTCGTGGGGGGCAAATCAGTCCCGTCTCGGTGCTAATCCCAAAGTGGATAGATAGTACGTGTCCGTCCTTCTGGAAGCCTCAGGTTGCAACACCCGTCGCACGCCAGTCTTTCGGTAGTTTCTCTACATGGATGTAACCATTACTCTTAGTATATTGTGAGTAGCAACAGGATACTGTATATCTTAGATGCTACTATGGTAAGTGTTCGAGAATTAAGACCGATGACTTCCCAGTGGCGATAGCACCGTTCAATCCTGTAGTACGAGTACTTAGCAAAAGAGTAGCCTCAAAATATATATGTATATAGTGGTCGCAGAATTGCCACTTACTAATAGGCATGTATCATAGCCAGACATCAGCATTTTGATGCAAAAGACCCTTTTTAGCAACTACTAGCACTCATTTCAAAACCCACTCATCAACATCGCCAATAACCATCAAACTACTATACAAAGTACTTTCTCGGGAAGGGTCCGCGGTTCGGCACGTGTCCCGCGTCGGGTTCTGCCGTGATTCCCCGCCCCCTTTTTTCTCCTCACTTTCCTTTCCATCCCCGCAGGTCTGCTCGATCCATCTCCCCAGTCGCTTCTTTTGCTCACTTGTCTTGCAGTTTATACTTCTTTCGCCAAATTAGAAGTAGTGAATATTACAGTCTGACTACCCTTAGATGCCGAGCTACAGATGCCTAGAGTGCAAGGTCTGAGGCAGACAATGGACCTCTGCAACCATGTGAACAGCAACTCCCAGGAACTTTTCCTTCATTAGAGACTAATGGGCTCACCCCGCCAAGCTAGTGAAGGATATATATATATACACAAACAATTGGCAGATAGAAAGAGCGAGTGGCTGGCGCGACCATTAACCTATTACTTGCATCGAAACAGAACCCCCAAACACTGGGCCTCACCTTTCACGGAAATTAGAGAAATGTCGACATTATAGTGGTTGCAGTGTGAAACCCGTGAAAAACCCCCGCAGAAGCAGACAATTGGCAGGAAATGGAGACCTGACGAGCGACTAAAGGTGAACTCCCCCTTCGGAACTGGAAGCGGACGTGCCGTGGTAGTTTCCTAGATAGTCTCCCAGCTCCAAGATGGCTAGTTGCCGAAGCTCACTGCGCAACACCTTGCCGGACTATCACGAACAGTATGGTCAGCATATGCAGCTCATGGAGGATAAGACAGTGGCAACAAATAGGGCATACCGCGTTCCGTGGAATTTTCTCAATGAACGAGAGACCGCCTGACAGACGCTTGTATGGAGGGAGCTTCTCCGAGATGAGCTCATGGATCTCCTCGGCGGACACCGAGGTCTTGGGGTAGGTCTGGATATAGGCCCGGGGCCCCTCGTCCTCGTTCCTGCGGGAGTTAGACTCATCTTCCAAGGGAATGACACAGGCGGCTTACACTGCGACTCCGATCACCCCAACATCACAGACATGCGGGTGCTGTAGTAGGACAGACTCAATCTCGACCGGAGATACATGGCTTCCGTTAACCTTGATCAAATCCTGTGGTAACAGTCAGCTAGAGTTCTATCTTTTCTGCCAAACCCGCGGCAACGAGGCAAGGAATTACCTTTTTACGGTCGACAATATACCAATTGCCTTTGTCATCGACGTATCCTACATCTCCTGTGCTGATCCAACCGCCTGCTCCCATCACTTGCTCCGTCGCGGCGGGATTGTTCCAGTATCCTCGAGTTGATCCTGGCGTGCGGATCCAGATGTCGCCAACCTCACCTGTCTTCAATGTCCGAGAATAGTCGCTGGAATCAGTTACTTTCCCTTCGTACGTGGCGTTCAGTTGCCCGACCGTCTCGGACTTGGGCGGGCGCAGGGGATCGGGCCCAGTGATAGTTCCCGTTCTGTCCAGTCATATAGTCAGCAACAGGAAACCCTCGGTTTGCAGGGACAAACCTACTCTGTAAGCCCCCAGGCACGGGCAACGTATCCGATTCCCATACTTTCCAGCTTGAACTTCGTGAACTGGCTCATCGGCGCAGCACACGCCTCGACACGTCGGAGACATGTCAAATCGTATTCTCGACAGATGGGGGCATTCTTCGCCATGGAGGTCAGAACAGAGCTTCGAATGATTGCATCTGTGATCTGGAACCGCTCAACTGCCTCGCAGATGCTCCGAAAGTCATTGCGTCGCATCAAATACAGCGGAACACCCATCTTGGGAAAGATGGCGCAATATGACCGCTGCCCAACACTGTGATTGATTGCAAGGGAACCCAACACGCGCACGTTTTCAGGGCCTCCAAGGCGAGGGTTATATTTCCAAGCTGGATGCGAGGAGATTCGCCGGATGTATCCCATCGCTGCCGCAATGTAGTTGCGATGTGACAGTTCTACACCCTTGGGCTCACCAGTAGTGCCGGAAGTGAAAAGGAGCATTATTGTGCTGTTATACTCTTGCGAAGAAATGACAGTGGGGTACCAAAACCGGGACCCCTCCCATTCGGACGCCACCATCGTCTGCCAGTGCTGAATCGGGCCTTCCGGCTCGCCACAGCCGTCTAGGATGTCATCGTCAAAGACAAAAATTCGGTTATCAGGATGATTGGCCAAGCGCGCGGCTTGCAGGGCAACTGGAAGGGTGGCACGGCTGGCAAAAATCACCGAAGGTTGCGAGAAGGATATCAAACGATGGAATTCGGCCTGGTTGAGAGCAGGTTGTCCAGACGCGAAGATACACCCGGCCATCACAGTACCCATGAGGAGTGCGGGATAGCAGAGGGCATTGGAGGTCACGCATAACACGCGATCTTTCGGGTTGACGCCCAGTTTCTGCAAACCCACTGCTACACGAGCAGAGAGGAGTCGGTATTGGGCCAGCGACAAAGCTCTCGTATCCGGGGAGTCGGCATCGATGAGGATCTTTCGGCTACTCAGGGAGCGTCGAGGGGAGCCAAACACGAACCGGGGGAGTGAACATTGGGGGATGGGCGTGGTCCATTTCGAGACAGTGTGCGAAGACCTGTCGCTGTGTGGTCGGGGCATAGGTGGAGGATGCATTATGAAGAGAATTTCACGAGATTATCACCACTGGCTCTGTCACCAAGCTTCTTCGATCTGCTCGTGTCTGGGCTTTGGTCTCTCAGTGGATCCTCTCTCCCTTATATACTTTCTACGACGAAGGCTTGCTGTCAGCCAGCAGGGTTTGGTGATGGATTTACGTAAATAAACCTTCTGGCGCAAGCCATGTTCGAGCTGAACAATGATGCCTGTTAACCATGAAACTATGGAACAATAGCCTGGGTCTGGCTGCTGCTGACGAAATCTATCGATCTGCACGTGTGGGCCAGGGGCCGTCTTGGTTTACTGCAGCTCCAGGCCGATGATCTGCGCCTCCGGTCGCACCGCTCGTCGGGGGCGGCGATCGGCCTATTTCGTGATGCTGACTGACACTGCAGATATTGCCCAACTCCACAACAGCTCTTGTCGGGACCTCTCTTCGGAGTTCACTTGCCAGCTCGGACAATGAGCCCGCCACGTCGGTCCGGAGAACTTTGGTTTCCCCTGATCGTTGCTTTTCTGGCATCACACCGGCGACAATTATTGCGTGATTCTCATGATGTGACGCCGGTTTCCACTAGAATCCCATCACACGGCAATGATCTTTCCATCACCTCAGGGTGAGTACGTGGACGGCATGATGGGTAAGCAACATGTCGTAGCCTGATCCCCGCTCAAATCTACAAAGCACATTCTACAAAGAACATTCGGAACAAAGCAGAATGCAAGGGCAGCGCACGGGCGATGTAAGGGACGCCATTGCGTATACTCGGGCGACAGGTCCAAACTTTGACCGCTTTAGGAATGCGATGTCACCAAATTCCGTCTACAATGGAGACTACATACGAAAGGTCTTTTCTGGTATATGCACGAAAGGTCTAAGGTGTGGTTTCTTGACTTCAACTATCCGATCTTGTCTATTTATGAAACATCCTTTTTTCTTACTTCGATCCACAGTGGCTCGTAGATCTTAGGTATGTTGGCACCCCTGAATGAATGACGATCCTATCAAATTCTCCCCGCCCGTTTCTTGCGGTAGTCGTGGCCCCAGAGTAAAACACCCCAAAGAAGGACGCTGGAAACCGCCCACAGGACAGCGATCAGGGTCCCCATCCAGCCCATACCGATTGCGTTAATGATAGGCACCGCAGCTGCAACCGCACCTGCGCCTAGAAAGCAGCGAAACATTGTGTTGGAAGCTGTGACTGTCGCCGCCCGCTTGACGTGGCAGTCGATCAGCAGCGTGACCAGGGTGCTGGTAGCTCCCGCAATGGTATGCGCCGTGAAAAACAGCATAATGAGCGGCCCGGCCACATGAGTCCTGTAATTCATGACCCAGCCATAGCCAATGATGCAGATGCAGGACATATAGACCATTGGCAATGTGATCTGGAGACGGGCCTTTTCGACAGGGAACTCAATGAGGTCCACCTGGCGGTTATTGACCACCTCCATGCCATGTTGCCGCCCCAGGCGACGGAAATTCCAGTCCACGAATCGCCCAACGGTCCACCTCGAGGTGAGACTGCCAATCCCATATGGAATATAGCACAGGCCGATTTGGAGCGAGTTGTAGCCGTACTTCTCTCCCAGCTCCGACGACAAACTACTGAGAACAGCAAAGTATCCGCAGTAGAGGATAGAGCAGAAGGCAATGATGGCGCCAGTTTCCTTTTCCAAAGCGATTTTAATGCTGTCAATCGGCGTCGGTCGACGGGGCTTAGGCCCATCTTCCAGCTCTTTCTTAGCTGCCTCAGCCCCTTCATAGGCCGAGGGCTGCACAATCGGAATGAGTGGCCGGTTCCAACGCGGCGCGGGGATAGATCCATTTCCGACCACCATGCGGCAGGTTTCGGGGAAACAGACAAGGATGAGGATTATCATCGCCAGGGCAAATATGGCGAGAAACCAGAAGATACTTCGCCAGCGAAGAAACTGGGCCAGGACACCTCCAATGATAGGGCCGAGGGCAGGTCCCATTGTCGTTCCCAGCGACGAGTAGATCATGTATTTACCACGCTCGCTTCGAGTGACCAAGTCGGCCGTAACAGCTATGCCGACGACCGAGATGGCACTACTTCCGCAACTTTGGAAGGTTCTGAGGACGATGAGTGCAATGTAGTTGTCTTGAAGCGCCAGGCCGATATTGACGGCGAGGTAGGTGATCAGACAGACCAGCATCGTGGGTCGACGGCCATATACATCGGATATACTTCCCGTCACCAACGGCGCAACTCCTTGGAAGATCTGAAGCCGTGTATGTTAGCTTATGCAACATATCTTTCCGGAGATGTGATATGATCTTACCATGTAAGTGGTGATAGTCAAGTTAATTTTGCTCACGGAGACATGCAAGTCTTCGGATAGTTGGTCAATGGCGGGATAGTAGATGTTTGCTGACACCGGGGCTAGGAATCCCACGATGGCCGCAATAGCGATAGTCATGATCTTCTTCCTCTCCGTCAACAATGTATGTGGCGGCGGCGGCGGCGGAGGCGCCGCCTCTGAGGGCGTTTGAGAGAGTGGCTGGAGGCTGGCACTGCTGGAGTTGCCCCCAAGGGAGCCCAGCTCGATTGTGTGCACAACCTCCTGAGGACCTTTGTCCTTGACTTCTTGAGACATGATAAAAATTGCCTTAGGGAGTGAAAAAGGGTTGGTAAAGGCCCTGAAAAATCCAAAAGGAGTGACTTGGTTCAGCCAAAGCGTCAATCGACCGCGAAACTTGCCATGTCTGGCATAGTTATACCGGCTCTATGCTGACATCCTCTGCTTGCCTGATGACATATGCATCCGCCCGATCGATGCTTGTTTTCCACAAATGGCAACCGGAGATCACATCATGGATGGGATGCATTACGGCCTAGCTAGTGTTTTTCACGGCACGGGGCCTTCGGTGTGGATGTAAAATTCCGTCTGTTCCCGGGCAATTCGGAGTCACTTTCTCAGCTACAGCTTGTGTGATTCGGAGCTTTAGCTGACCGAAAGAGGAAATAAGGACCCCTATGGCAATTATCTTTAAGTAATGGAAACTAAAAGTTGGGGAAGATCGCGGCTGAGCCCCAGGGTTGGCGTCAACGCCGATCAGGGTGCAAAAGCAAGTTTCAGAATTCAAAAAGAACAGTTACCCACGCCAAGAAGAAAGAAGAAGTTAAAATGTGCAGCCGCGTCAGCGGCTGCATCGTCGATCGTGCATATCCACTCTGCAGCAGCTAAACTATTGGCGGTGAAAGAAAGTCCGGGCTCGACCTGTCGATCTTCTAGGGTGCGCAACCCTACTACTCACGCCATTGCGGACCTGCAGCTCAGCATCAGCGCAAGCTGCCCAACAGAAGGCGCATGCCAGAAATGTGCCAAGTCACTGTACCTGAAGCCCTTGTTGATATCTATATAAAGAACATCAGAATCGGGTTCACAATTGACCAAACAAGGCAATCAAAACTTTCTTCGATCTCAAGGCTTTTGTAAACGCAGTTCTCCCTCACAATGCCGTCAATCCAGTTCATGCCTGAAATGGACTCTCCATCGAACACAGCTTCCCTCTCCTCTGCTGAACGGGAAGGGGGAAAGAATGTAGAAGCAATTACATACAATGTTAGTCATTTCAATCCAAGGTCAAAGCTCATACTGACACCCTGAAAGGACACCCTTCGCCAGCTAAACACGCTCAACACCAACTTTGCGTACCGCCAACTCGCCATCAAGACGGCGGACCGTAGTGTCTTCATCCAGGATATGTTGAGATGGTGTCGTGCAGTGGGATATGAGGTAGGCAAATATCATCGAGGACACTCTATTCAGACACTGACAGCGATCTACAGTGTCCCGATTTCGATCCCCTGAATGCGGTGCACATTGCCGGAAGTAAAGGCAAGGGTTCCACCTCGGCGTTTATCTTCTCGATTCTGTCCGAATACCAAAGCCACGAGGTATGCACTGCAACCACTGCAGCTGAGCTGTCGAAGATATCTTTCCGCAGACACCACTAACACATGTCACAGAACCCAATCAAGAAGCTGGGGCTCTACACATCACCTCATCTGCGCACCGTCCGAGAGCGCATTCGGATCAGCCCGTCCAACGACATCCCTTTCCACCACACCTCCCTGACCGAGGACCAATTCGTCCAGTACTTCTGTGATGTCTGGGGCCGACTCGGTCTGACAGAGGAGACCGCCAAGAGCGGTCCTCCCTTTGCCCGCTTCCTCACGCTCATGGCCCTTCACGGGTTCCTGCAGGAGAAAGTCGACACCGCCGTGGTCGAAGTGTGTCTCGGTGGCCGACATGATTCAACCAACATCCTCCACAAGCCTAGCGTCAGCGCCATTACGAGTCTCGCCCTCGAGCACACCGACCTGCTAGGCAACACTATCGAGGAGATCGCCTGGGCTAAAGGCGGCATCATCAAGCCCGGTGTCCCGATCTTGACTATTCCCCAAGCTCTCGGCGCTACCGCCACGCTGCAAAAGATCGCAGCCGAAGTGGGAGCGCCACTGACCATTGTCCCCGTGCACCCAGAAGTGGAGACCATGGAGCTGGGACTAGCAGGAGACTTCCAGAAGATAAACGCTAGTTTGGCCATAGCCGTGGCAGCGACCCATCTACGCAACATGGGCTACTCGGACATTCCCGAGGACATCACCTCCGCTCCCTTACCGGAGAAATTCCGTCGGGCCCTGGAGACCGCCAGCTGGCCGGGCCGCTGCGAGACGCGGGACTGCCGGTCCGGTCGGTTCCATCTGGATGGCGCGCACACCGTGGAGAGCATGGACCTGGTGGGATCCTGGTTCGCGAAGAAGGCCACACCGCAGCAGGACTCCGCCAAGCGGGTCCTTATCTTCAACCAGTCTACCCGCGATGCCTTCACCCTCGTGCGCCACCTCCGGGATAGCATTCGTCAGACTGCGGGTAATGGGAGTAGTCTGGCCGAGAAGCCGTTCCACCACGTCATCTTCTGCTCCAACATCGCGTGGGAGAAGGATGAGACGGCGGATATGGAGCGCGCGTCCATGACTTTCCATGGTAATGCAGGCGAGGAGAACCTCAACCTCCAGGCCCAGCTGAGCACTTACTGGCGCGGTATCCCCGGGGAGGAGTTGACGGGTATTACTGTCGTGCGCACCGTCGAGGAAGCTATCCGCTGCGCTGGGGGTGTTGGCAGCGTCGGTGGCCAGGGCCGTGTGCCGCCGCTTGTGCTTATCACGGGTAGTCTGCACTTGATTGGAAGTGCGTCGGAGGTGTTGGAGACCCTCGAAGAAGAGGGCCTTTACTTATGAGAAACTTTGCGGGGTCTTTCGTGAACTTACTATTTTATTTTCGGATGTATTATATTAGGCTCTCCTTTGTTTAGACAGATGTAATCATACAAAAGGGGGGAGGGATCATGAGGGGTGGTGATATATATGTATTTATGAATAAGAGTTGATGTCGGTATTTCGGGTTAACCGAGTGGAGGATTAATTGATCTTATGGTGAAATGGATTTTCTGAAGATAGTAATGGGTGAGGAGGAATATGTGGTAACTTCGTGTATCGTCTACAGATGGGATCGAATCATATGTATGTACAGTCTCAGGGATATATATCTGAGGTTCATGGCCACATTGGGACATGGTCTAATTTATGTTCTTGTTGAAGAAGAGTGAGTTCAAAAATGTGTCACTCCCTTTGGCCGACGGTCGCGCCACTCGTCGTCCTTGCCTACACTTAACCGCTCGTATCGCTGCAGCATCTCGTGCAGTCCAGAGGTAGCTAACGACTGGGGATCGTCCTGGAAGTGGTCCACATAACTCTGTTCGCCATCGATCTTGGTTAACCCCTCGGCGTATCTATCCCACCGGTCGGGCACCTGTGCCATCGAGTCTTGCTGGAATAGCTCCTTGATCCCGGGTGGCACCTCGTCCGACTGCTGCACCCGATTGCCTTGGTTGCGGGACCGCACCGACAGCTTGAAGAGATGGAAGAGGTGGCGTCCCAGTTGGGAACGACAGGCAATGATCGACATGGCGCTGGTCAGAGAGAGGAAGTCGCGGTCAAGGATATCAAAGGTCTCCTGGCCAAGAAGGGTGAACAGCGCCAGGTTGACCGAGTACATGGCGAACTGGTGGGCATGTTCCATCCCGTATTCCACCCGTAGCTGCTGGGTGAGCGCGGCGATGGTTCGTGCTGACGAGAGGGCGATTTCCACGGCGCTGAACCCTTTGCTTTCTCGAGGCGTCCGCTTGTCACCCTCCGCGAGTATGGGGTGGAATCCAAATCGATCGCTGCAGAGGTTTATCACTAGTGTATGGTAGCGCATTCTGTAGACGATGGGACTAGTTAGTTCACTCATGCTCCGCCGCCTCTCGTGTCGTGTCATCACTTCACCTGAGCAACAGTAAATGCGGTGCCGGTCGCGTGGCCGGATCGAAGTACTCGGGAAGATTGCTTTCCCATACACTGAGCCGGTCGTAGAGTTCTTGCTTCCGCTGATCTGGCTCGGTGCCCGATCGATCGGTGCGGGAGAGACTCCAGGAAATGTCGCGGGCGATGAAGGAGAGCTTGCAAGCCTCATCGAAATAGAGGTTCAGGTACGACGGGCGGGAGTTTTGAGATATTGGGTACGGTGCCCACATGTCGCTCGAGTTCGTGCCATTTCGGTCGATGGGCTCGACACTTACGGAGCTAACGCGGCTTGGCCGGAGGAAGTTGGTGTGGACGACCCTGTGATTGTCCACCATCAGAATGGGCCCTAGGACAAATATTGCTTGACAGGAACGTGAGATCGCACTTACGTGTCTACCTGGAACAGGCCCCAGGCGGTGCGCTTGATGGAGACGATCATATCCTCGGACATTTGAGATACGGAGAGGCGCAAGTCGGTCTTCTTGTTGACGATGCCTAGCGACTCTCCCATCTCGATGGCGCGGTGCAGCATAGTGTAGCCCCAGTCATTGTGGCCGGACAAGGAGTACCTGGTGGATTAGAAACATACAATCAGGGCGCCCACCGCCCAGGGTTGGTGCGGACATACCTCTCATACAGCAATAGATGCGCCTGCAAAGATGCTAGACGAATATCGCCTCCCTTTTCAAACTGATGCGATTGTAAATGGCGTTCTGCTTCTGCCAGAAAATCGGCTCCTTTGGTGCGGACATCACCGGGAACAGTGTAGGCTTCGGTGTATTGGGAGTAGTACTAGATAGAGCCACGCAATGCCCATGGTTATCCAGTCTGCTCGAAGAGATACACGGCAGGGTGGGATGGACTTACGCAAGCGTTGGCCAGCAGGGCGTTAACCAAGAAGGGGCTGCAAAAGTCAGACTCGGTGTTGCCCATGGCCATGTGCTTAACAAAGGTTTCGCTGTCGAAGAAGGCGAAGAAGGGATAGTCCCAGATTAGGTAGAGGGAGACCAAGTGGGAGACGAGGTCATCGTCGTCGGTGACCGAAGTCCAGGGTTTGGCAGGGACGCGATAAGGAGCATTACTGCACAAATACCGGATGTCCATGATCTGAGGGCGAAAGCGCGGGGGCTCACTCTCGACCTCAATACCACGACGCAGGCCCTCCAGGCGGTGCAGGGCGTCCTCCTGATCTGGGGTCGAGGGCTGGGCAGCGGCCAGGGCGCGAGTGAGGTAGGCCCGCAC